ATCTTGTGTCAGTTCTGGGTCATATGCTAGCTCACCCTGCTGATCCACGAAAATATGGCAACATTTTAAAAATCCTTCTACATCTATCGTGACAAAACTTGTGTTTGTCACACTTTCAGTATACCAAACATTTCCATGCCTGTGTCTTGATGTGGAAATTAAGGAATTCTTTTTCCTGGTTTCCTTTTCCTGACCAAGTTGCCTCAGTTAATCCTTCTCTTCCTCCCACACAGTTTCGCTTCCTTACTGGGTTTTGAGGGGACAGAGGGTGGTGAGTTGGCAGTGTATGTATGTTTTTCTGCCCAGTGACTTGAAAGTATAGAGAAGGAAGGAGTCTTTAAAGAAAAACTCAGGGCTGGGGATAAAGCTAAGCAGGCTTAAGCATCTATTTGGCGGGTGCAGTGTGCTGAGTTCAATCCCCAGTGCTGCCAAAGAAAAGGGAAGAATCTCAGACCAAGGACCCCTGCCTGGATAGATTGAATAAGCCAAAGCAGTAGCCACATGGGACACGGTGAGCCATGGGGTTCACAGAAACTGTTCAGTATGATTTGGCTTTATTTTCAGCATGATAATTTTGGTGTGATCAGACCTTCCTCTAGAACATAGGCATCACAAGAACAGTTCTTTTGTCTCTTTTCGTCTCTGTGTTCTTCTCTGTAACTTTCTTTTCTGTGTTGATGTCCAGTAATGACTTGCTGTTTCGCTGAATGAATTAATGACACATGCAACTAAGAGTTTTTGATCTTTGACTTATTATATTTACTTGGCTAGAATTTTTTTATATTCTATTAGATGGTGAGGGATTTGTTACAGGGTCTCACTACACAGCTTGGACTTGTAGTGATCCTCCTGTCTCAGCCTCCTCAACACTAAGATTACAGGTGCGCACTACCATACCTGGTTTTGGTGGCTAGCACAGCATGCCTAGAGTTCCAGGGCTGGCACCCCGTGTGGTACTAGGGATCGGACCTGGGTCCTTGTACTTACAAGGCAAGCACTTAGACCATCAAGCTATCTCCCCAGCCCTAACTCTTGATTTTTTAAAAAAATTATATTATGGGAACTTTTTTCCTTCCTGGAAATTCTTTCAAATTATAAAGTAATTAATA